TGATTAGATCGTAGTGTGAGGTGAGGCCTTCTTTTACTCCAGTTAGAATTCCACTTGCAACTTGCCGGTATTTAGGTACAAGGTGCAGGGAGTAACCTGGGAATTGGTAGTACTTCTGTTTGTCATCCGAAAAGTTTGCTTCCATAATTGTGAAAATGTCTACATCATGGGTTTGTAGAATTTTCGGGACTTGGATCTTTTTGTCCTGTGACATCCCTCCAGCACTCCACTGGAGGATCTGAAGACGTTGTGATTCGCCCTGACGAGGGCGATTTCTCTTATAGCCTTGTTTCAAGCTAATCATAATAAATCGAAATCAAATCAAATGCCGAGTGATAGACTTTTTTTGCCGTACGAAGATACGTTGTCCAGGGTGCACCACGTGGAGGTAAGTCTATCGCGCACCCCTGTTGGAAAAATATAACACTGTCAAATATGTGGCTTGATCGACCCCGAATCTTCTCCGCTGTCCTTTGAATCGGCTCGTAAAGCGGTCTGGTGGTAATTGTTATGCTTCTCCAAAAGTTAGGATATTTCCCATTTTCGGTTTGGAAGTTATGAGTGCTTTCGATGGAGTACTCAGGTTTCGGCACCAGCATGAGTCTAAATATTAAAAAAATTAGATTCTCTTCCACTCTCTGCTCCCCTTGTGATAGCAGTTGGCTTTTCATTTTTGCAAACAAGTTGCGTATTCAGGTCAACGAAATTAATTTGGAGAATATCTGGCGGCGACGGTTAATGACAGTACCGGTTGTGACACTGAATTGATTTAACCTCTTGGTTCCTTTAGATATGAATCCCCCCCCCCAGTGAAAAGAGATTTCCTGTTTAGGTTCAATAAAGCTGATATCAGCAGAGACCATGAAGCCTCAGCTTGCTTATCTTTGACTGAATTTTGAGCTACCACTTTTCACCTTGTTTTGATTGAGTAGAAAGCTAGTTTAGAAATGGTGATTTTCTCAGGTTGCTCTGATCAAGATATTTGAGAGAAATCGACTTTGTGTGTGGCTAATTTGCGTGCAGCGCATTTAAATTTGTTTGGCTCGGAAAAAAAGTTTGCGCCAGAACGAATACAGACATGGAGGACTCCGTGGAGTACGTGAGGTTCATGGGGTTTTAGACTATGTCATAATGCGCAGCTTAGTGTAATCATTGGCGGTCGGAATTGAAATTGCAGTGGTTAGTATCAGAGGTGGCGATGGTATAATTGGATTGAAGAGTAATATATTGTAGAAATAGGAGAAATGGTGTTGGTAGATGTGATAGGAACATCATTTTAACATTTAACTCCAATTTTTACAGAAAAAGGCTTAATTTTTTTGTTAATATTATCAGCGAAGTGTCTATTATTGGAGAAAGCAAATACATTTTCGCCTTCGACATTGTAGAAATACACCGTTTTGGACGACATAATAGTCAGAACTCGCTAAAAAAACACCAATTGTATGATATTCTCGCAGTAACCGTGAGCCAGATAGAAACTTTAACTCATCAGATTTTCGTGAGTTATGTTCTCTCAATGCATTTTAGATTGAGTAAACAGGTTCCAGATGTTCCAAAATTTTATTAAGTGTATGGTGAATCGGTAGTATTAGTCGAACTAGTGTTAATAATGATCATTGTCTTTTTTTAGGGCTGGCTCACCAACCCTCTGTGTGATATGTTTCTTGTTAGTATACGTGCCCCTGGTAATCGTGGCTTTCTGGTCAATTGTCTTTGATTACACCCTCTTCACTTCCTTTCGCGATTCCTCCTCCAAAATCGCCTCCCCTACACCTGCTTCCTTATCTGCCTTCAATCTGCGTCGTCTTGATATCAGTGGCGGCGGTGGTGGTGTCAACAGCGTTAGCAAACGTCTTCGCCGTCTCCAACGCTTCGGCGGTAGGGGCAGCAGCAAGCAACAGCCGGGTCTGCTTCTTCCTCCTGACTCTTGCGAACTTTCCAAGAGGCGTATTGGTGTTAATGAAGCAATGGAGAGATCAATGTCCCCTGCTAGTCCTGAAGTTTCTACAAAGAAGCACCCGAGCATCTCTCCAGAAATGGAGGAGAAAGGAAGCAAAAAAATAAGCGAAAACGGTTTCGATTTAGATAATCGCTTACTACCCTTGGTCTATCGACTCATTTATATTAATACCAATAACTGTACAATCACTGATGATCTTCAATCTATTGAGGGTCAACGTGGCACTTTTAATTCAATGGGTTCTCAAATCACATGCCTTCATATTATAGCGTTCGCTGTGGCCATTGTATTTGTTCTTATCAGTCTTACGGTTTCTGAAGTGAGTCGATTCCACACAATACTCATGTCCCCATTTTCTGTAGTGTAAATATTTTATCAATTTTAGATTGATGGCGAACCATTATCGGGATTATGTCTAGTTGGAATTCGTACGCTCTGGGTCTACTGCTCAATGGTTATCACCCCCATTGTTCTTTGTGCCGTCCTTAAGGTCTTTTATCTCTCTCGAGCTATGAAATCTATGCGTCGACTGAGTAATTACCTTGTGACAGCGTCCTATTTCCCAGTTGATCGGGAGATGGCCCATAGAATATCCATGTGCTTTCGTGCTTACGGTAAGCCTCGTATACTGAAATTGTCTAAGTAGTTAATCTTTTTCTTATTTTAGTGATATATATCCTAGTTTTGTTGGCGATTGTAACATTCTCTGTTGGGGTTCACGCTTATGCCTATTTGGAGGAACCTAAATGGCTCGAAACGCAGCGCCTACTTCTCTTGTAAGTTAATTCATATTGGCATTAAAGTTAACAGAATAGTCTTCAAATTGTAATAGTCTGTTTCGTTTAGTTGCCAACTACGTCATCACTTAATGGGTTTGGACAGTACAACCGCTTCAGCTGCTTGCAAAACACCATTTGCATCTGAAATTACTTTATTCTACGACTCTGCACAATCTTTTAACTCAACAGCAGCACCTACACGTGTACGTCGGGATGTTCAGCCATCAGCGGAAGAGGTATCTGAGGTGGTTAATGGTTCTCGTCCTCTGACTGGTCCCTTACTCCTTAACCTCTTCAGTTTTCTCATGCTGAACCTAGTATTTGCATCAATGTGTCTTCTTGATTCAACTGTGAAGCAGAAGTGGTGCGATCTCCTTATAAGGTAATACACACTATCCTTACTACTACTCTATTTTAATCAATGGTGGCTGTCCTATAGCTTTGTTTTTTTAGAATTATTTCAATTTTTACTTCATGTCCCTCAAAATTGACTCGAACTAAACCCATGCAGCCAACAACTCCAATAACCTCACATGCTGTTAACGGTACCAATCCTTTACTTTCCACTTTTCATTTGCCCGGTACCTTTTCCTGGTGGGATCCAGGAATGTTCTTCCACGATTTCTTTGTGGTCATATCACCTACTAACCTCGCTCATGGAGATGTTAGAGGCAATCATGCTGGGAACTCTTTCCTTCCTGCAAATTCAAATCGGCCCATCACTACCTCTGACGTGTCGTGTGGTTGCAACCGTCGATACTCATCTTCCACAAACGAAGAGAGTAAGTGCCATAACATATGCCCACTCTCAGTTTTATAATATTTCTAGTAATTTCGATTAAGTCATTAGATGTACTATACGAACTTTATATTCTATGGCCCAGTAGCCATTTAGTTGGAAAAGAACATGAATTATATTCACTCTAAAGGTTTAAAGGACGTGTTTTTCCTTACCTAAGCAGCTTTACGGGAAACTATATATTCTTAGACATCCTAATTTTTAATTAATGAATGTACTAATGTGTAACGTGGATTTTAGTTTCAAGGGAGCGCCTGTTTATTGCAATTTCATTAAGAATTTCATAATATTTATTTTCCCCAAGAGAGCATAATATGAGTGTTTATTGGGATTGTCATCAAGATTTCCAAAATGCCCATCTTTCAAAATGGGATCACCTCCTTCTCTTTTTCTCTTGAGATATTCGCCAATCGCTCTCTCTCTCCCCCTCTCTTGACTGCTTTTTTACCAGGAATTCAGCCTGCCATTTCATAAGGTAATAGTAGTTTGGAAAGCAATATATATATATATATATATATATAT